TCGTCCTCATGTCTTCTGATCTGGCATCATCATAGAAATTATTCAGAAAGACATTCTTGGTGTCCTCCCAAGTAGTTAATGAAGCAGGCTCCAGTTGCTTCAGCCAATATGCAGCTTCTCCTTCAAAAGAGTAAAGAAACAGCTTACAGAACAGAAAGTCATTGCTAACCCCATTAGCTTTGACACTGGAAGCCAAGTCCTCAAATCTCTCTATGTGATCCATAGGATGCTCATGAGGTAAACCATGGAAGGGATGCTGACCAACCAGCTGATAGTAGACAGGTTTGACCTCAAAATCGTTCCTCTGGAAGGTAGGAGGTCGGATTGCAGCTCTGTTGGCATAGAACTGATCAGGTCTGTTGTAGTCGCCTAGAGTCCTCTGAACAAAACGCCCAGCAGCGTTATTGACAGCAGCAGGGACTCCCACGTTCTCAGCCACTTGCTGAACCTGCTGTTCAACAATGACATTCCCCTCTTGATCAATTCTCTGCCCCTCTTCGTTCCTCCTGTTTCCTTCCCTGTCAACCAAGTGACCTTCTGCATCTTCAACCAAGATAAATGGAGCGACCATTGTAGATTGCTTCTTAGCTTTCCTGTTAGTTCTCTCCAACCTAGCAAGCTCGTCGATGCTCAAAGTCACAAGCTCCTTCTCTTTGTTGATTCTGGTTCTGCGATTAGGCATACACCTGAAACAGGAACAAGGAAAAGTAGCTGAAAATCAGTAAACAAATAAAAACTTAGACAAAATCCTAATACTAAAAATCGATAAACAGCTATTACTCCCCGACAACGGCGCCAAAAACTTGATAGGGTCAGGTTTTGCCCAAATAAAACTACTGCAAGTGCACAGCAAATACAGTTGTAGTACAAGGGGTATCGAAATCCCAAGAGAGTAATGCAGACTACACTATCGAATGTAGATTCGGATTAAGCTAAGCAAAATATGATGTATTTAATGCGAATGAATGAATAAAAGTGAGCAAACGATTGTGTGATATGATCTAAGTTCAAGAAGACTAAAAGCGCTAAGTCAGGGTAATTCGGAGGTTTGAATCCAAGAATGTATGATGCAGGAAATCAGGAATGATTAAGAACCATTTTAAACATGAATCTCTAATACATAACTAATCAATTCTCATTGTAAAAGTTATCTATGCCTAAATCACAGAGTTTCAAATCTCTTTGCAAACCCTAACAACCTAAGCATGCAGAAATGATCAGATTCAATTGTTTACAAAAACTCCTAAGCCAAATCTCTTTGCACTAAGTTGCTTTGCTCATCAAATACTAGTTCAGGTTATGAATAATTCTCTCACATATATTTAACAACCTATAATTTTTGGATTCCTAGATGATGTGTCTCAGAAATTCGATTTTAAAGCAAGCAGAGATGAAAAACCATAAGATATTCCTAACAGATAGCGATTCTACACTCTTTTCATCAACCTTTGAAAAACCCTAACTTAACTAGCAGATTACTCAGACATGATTATGAGATCACAAAACATAACTGAATAAAATTGCATTAAGAGAAAGAATAAGAAATAAAGGGGGTTCGAAATCTTCTCAAAAGAGTACAGGATTTGTCTCCCCAAAAAGCTCTGAATAAATCTCTCTCTAAGCTCTCTGAATTCTCAAAAACTAAGATAATTACCAACAATGGCTGAAAAACCTAATAAATAGAAGCTAAACACGATCTGGGGTCTTCATGTAAATAAAGGAAACTTCTGGGCTAATTCTGCAAATCTTCTTGATACTTTTAATAAAACAGCCACGCTCCTTCCTTAATAGGTGACGAGCGTCACCATATGCGATACTTTTCTGCTTCGAGCTTGGTACTTCGTGGCTTCCACTCAGAATGCTCCAAAAGGTTCCAAAATCTCCAATTATGCTCCAAACATGCTATAACCTGCAAAGACTCTACTGGGACTCTAAAAAGACCAAAAAGACTCAATAAAAAGAACTTATATCATGGTTAAAAACCATAAAAACTATGATATATCACAACCCCCGACCCAAAGAAGGTGAGTACCAGGAACCTCTACGATCGCAACGACAAGGCTCGCAAAGCCAATGTCTCCGCCATCACTCGACCACCATGAAACAAATGGGACTGTACTTTGGGCAGCGCCTTCGGATCACAACCATATTGCACCTGGCACAAGCGCTCCGGTCACGACGACCCCGAATGCCACCACCTTAGAGATGTCCTCATGCAGGAATGGCTGGCCGGTAGAATCAAACTGGATGACCGACTGCGCGACGGGTACTCAGCACGCCGACCCCATGCTGATTAACCTCGCCCTTGAGACGACGACCGACGCGCCCCTGCGCCTCAAGAACAAGCTCGTCCTGACGAGAATCCCAAGCGTGCACGGGAAGACTCACCTCCACCACCACCAGCCCTCCCGTCACCCTGACGTAGGATCAACATGATCAAGGGCGGCCTCCTTACTTGCAACGATTCCATCAATTTGATAAAAACGTATGAGCGCCGCGCCATGTATGCCAAGAGCAAGACACCGGTCTACGACGACACCCCGCCCATCACCTTCACTGAAGCCAACGCTGAAGGTCTCGACCGCCCACACAACGACCCGCTCGTCATCTCCCTACGTGTCGGATCAGACGATGTCTCGAAGATCTTGATCGATACTGGCAGCACCGTCGATCTCATATTCAAGACTACCCTAATTCAGATGGGGATCAAGGACAGTCAGATCAAAGTCGCCCCAAAGGCACTCACGGACTTCACTAGCGACTCTACCTCAACTATCAGAACAATCAAACTCCTCGTGACGACTGAAGGTGGCATCGTCATAACGGTCAAATTCGACGTGATCGATAAACCAACCATCCACAACATCATCCTCGGGACACCATGGATCAGCACCATGCGCGCCGTCACTTCGCCGTACCACCAATGCCTCAAGTACCCGAGCAGAAGGGGAATCATCACCATCCGTGGTGACCAACGTCAGTCCCGATCCTGCTACATCGCGGAGCAACGCGTCCGACACTCGTCTACATTTGTCATCGACAGTCTGGACCCCCGTATCATACACCATGAAAAGCCGAAAAATGACCTGGTTGTACAAGTTAGCATCGACATCGAGCACCCCGAACGATGCGTCGGACTCGGCACTGAGCTTCTTCCCAGTATGCGTGACGACCTTATCGCCTTCCTCCGTGAGAACGTCAACATGTCCGCATGGTCCATGGCAGATATGAAGGGGATCATTCTCGACATCACTAGCCATGAGCTCAACATCGACGTCACGTTCAAAACGATCAAACAGAAGAGACGAAAACTCGGCCCCGAGCGTGCACAAGCCGTCCAAGACGAGGTCGAGAAGCTCCTTGCAGCCGGATCAATCCACGAGGTTCAGTACCCAGACTGGCTCGCCAACCCCTTGGTGGTCAAGAAGAAGAATGGCAAATGACACGTTTGCATCGACTTCACTGATCTCAACAAGGCCTGCCCTAAGGATAGCTTCCCGCTACCCCGAATCGACCAACTCATAGAAGCAACCGCCGAAAACGAGCTGCTATCCTTCATGGATGCATTCTCGGGGTACAATCAGATCATGATACATCCCTCAGACCGGGAGAAGACCTCGTTCATCACGAACAGAGGAACGTACTGCTATAAGGTGATGTCGTTTGGGCTCAAAAACGCCGGTACTACCTACCAACGGTTGGTCAACAAGATGTTCGCCAACCAGCTCAGACATACGATGGAGGTCTACATCGACGACATGTTGGTGAAGTTCCTGAAGGCCGACCATCATATCACCCATCTGCGCGAATGCTTCCAGATCCTCAACACCTACCGGATGAAGCTGACTCCCGCGAAGTACACCTTCACGGTCACATCCGGCGAATTCCTCGGCTATATGGTCACTCAACGAGGCATAGAAGCAAATCCGAAGCAAATCTCAGCCATCCTCGAACTACCTTCACCACGCAACATCTGCGAGGTCCAACGATTGACCGGACGGACCGCCGCCCTCAATCGTTTTATCTCCCGATCCACGGATAAATGCCTCCCGTTCTACCAGCTTCTTCGCAGCAACAAATGCTTCATCTGGGACGACAAGTGTGAAGAAGCTTTCCAACAACTGAAGCTTTACCTCTCGACGCGTCTCGTGCTCGCCAAACCCGAAGATGGCGAAACACTATACATGTACGTTGCATTGTCAAGCTCGGCCATCAGCGGTGTCCTAGTCCGAAAAGACCGCGGTGAACAGAAACCGATCTTCTATATCAACCAAAGTTTAGACGGCGCAGAGCTTCGATACCCGATTTTAGAAAAGCTCTCCCTTGCAGTGGTCGTATCATCCTGGAAGCTGCGTTCTACTTCCAATCTCATACGATAACAATTCTTCACAGCGCAACTCAATCTGGTCGGATGGCCAAGTGGACTATCTAGCTTTTAGAGTTCGATGTCTCTTTAAAATTGTTTCTAAATTCTGATTTAATATTTTTTCAAATAAAATTGTATATTCTCACTATTTTTTGTTGTCTTCATTATATTTCTTACATTCTAATAATATGTTTTATGGTTACGTGAGTTATATTCGAATAACAACATAAAACTTGGAAAAAATACGTACCACGAAAAGCACGAGCGGCAGTTACAGTCATCAAACATTTTAATATCCGAGCTATTTTTAAAAGTCTCTAACAAACAAAAAAAAGTTCTAATAAATGTTAAGAAATGTATTGTGAATTTGGCATGGACCGACATATTCAAGTTTATTCTTTTCAAACATTATGAATACATTTTCAACGTTTAAGACTTTTGTTTGGATTTTGGGTGCAACATTTAAGACTATTAAAACTCATAACGAATCTCTGTAAAATTTCACAGCTTCACACACACTATAATTAAAAAAATAAAATTTTATAACCGAACCTTCTCAACATATATAAATACCAATCGAGCCGCTTTATGACAATTTCACATTATCCATTTAATAACCAAAATAGCAGAGAAAATGGGAAACAGCATAACTGCAAGGAGAAAGAAAGCAAAAGTGATGAAGATAGACGGCGAGATTTTCCGAATTAAAACTCCGGTGACGGCGAGACAAGTCACGGCGGATTATCCCGGCTACGTACTGTTAGATTCCGAAGCCGTTAAACACTTTGGAGTTCGCGCCAAACCGCTTGAGCCGAGCCAGATCTTAAAGCCGAAGAAGACGTATTTTCTAGTCGAGCTTCCGAAGCTTCCGCCGGAAAATGATAATAAGCTTCCGTACCGGCGAGTAATGTCCGGAATCCACGTCGGCGCGAAGGAGCGGTTAGAGATGTTGATGCTGTCTCGGAGAACGGTTTCTGATGTGGCGATCGGTAGATCCGACGGCGGAGATGGGCCTGGGCTTGGGCTTGGGCCTGGTCAGACGAGCGTGAGGCTGAGGCTGCCTCGATCGCAGATTACCAAGTTTATGGAGGAGAGCAATGACGCTTCCGAGATCGCCGAGAAGATTCTAAGTCTGTATAGGGAGAGCTCCGGAGAGATTGGCGGCGGTGATAGCCGCCGGAAACTTGGAACCGGGGAGATTAAGGCACGTGAGGTATTATTATTCTTCCAAAACTGTTCTTATACTTTGAATATGGTCAAACTAATTTGACCGCGTTTTTTAATTTTGTCAACTAATTTTACCGCGAAACCTCAACTGCTATTTAACCTGAAACAAACAAAATATAAGGTATATGCACTTATAAATTAACTATTTTGGGGGGTTTTATTTTACAAATTGTTGAAAACATACCCAAAATCAATATTCACATTTGGCACAACATCTGTTTTACAAAGAAAGTTATATAATTTGACTATTTAGCAAATTAACCCAAAAACTTCTTTTTTTAAAAAAAAAACCCCTAAAATGTTTTAGCTAAGAATTTAGTTCTAATAGAATGTATGATAGTGATATAAGCAGACGAGAGATGGAATTTAAAATTGTAAATAATATCAACTATCACTTGTTAGAGTATATTTTTCATAGAGCAGTGTATTGTCTCAGGGAATTAAGCAAAGAGTTTAATTTAATTCTATATTGATGTACAAGACAAGAAACATAATTTAATTTTCCGGCATTGCTTTAGCATTTTATTAGAGCAAACTAATAATTATTGTTACCACTAGGCCACTTGCAATGGGGACATGTAACTTATCTATAAACGTGAGTATGACGTCTGTACTATATAGTCACATATGTCCCTTGTAAATACAGAGGTGCATGTTAATCAATAATTAATTTCATATGTATAGTCAAACATCAATCATACTTATATCAATGGTGAAGATCTTCTCCATCATTAACTAATATTTTGTCGGTTTGTTTGGCTAATCATTTTTGTAAATTAATCTAGAGTTAAAAAATAATTTATATTAATTAAACATGTGCAGAAGCAGGTGAGTTTCGCCGGAGAAGGTGGACGGGAGCTTCCTATTCTATGGAGCAGAAATGGAAAATAAACATCACTTAGATAACAATTTTTCTCCTTCAACTCTTCCCCTTTTTATTTATTTTGTTATATTAATATATTGTGGTAGAACTCATACCTTGTTTGTACTAGTGTATATATGTCTTTTAATAGAAACTAGAGTTCTCTTAGAACTTCTTTACTCGTGTGTGACAACGAAAAACTTTAATTTCCTTTCTTATAATCGGAATAGATCATGAAAATAAGAGATTCAAAAATTAGACTAATTAATCTTTGATAATCATTCATTCATTTAGCCACTTGAACAAATCACTGTACACGGGTACACCCACAGGATTTGGGTTTGGAAACTTTCATCTTGATTATTTAATTTAGTCCTTTCATACTTAAAGAAGATAAAAGAAATTATATGCCCTAATAGAAATGGTTGGGTGGCATCTACCGCCTACCCTACCAGTAACCAAATAATCAACGATCATTATATCTGCAATCAATTTCTTTTTAGAAATTTTTTTAAAAAGATATACCCGAAACGACTAGGTTCCAAAGAATCTGAAGAAAAATCTAAAATTAGTTTTGCCTTTAGCAGCAAAAACTTCAAAAAAGTAAAAAGTTTTGGGCAGTCCACTACACGCGAGATGGAATGATCAACTTTTCCATTGCATGCATCATATTTTTGGAAAATTCTAAAATTTTACATAATGATTATAGATAATGATTTATAAACGGAAAATTCAATCAAACTAACTACATCATCAAGTCGTTCAAAAATAAAATAAAAAACTAACTACATCATCAGTTCACCATGGAATCTCTCAATTTCAATGATCTGTATATATTCTTGTAATTGAACATCAGACATGATGTAAAAATTCACAACTTGTTAGTTATATCTAATCACTTCCACATTACTACTCTTGTACAGTTTGACTTTTAGTGATTTTGGAAAATTAGGTAGGAGATGTGTGAGTCATATATAGTCAGAATAGTTAGGCTAGTTTTCCTGATTAGAGTAGATATTGTGTTCATAGTATTTAGTCCTCAACTTCCAAAATTACAATCTTCTAACAGTTTTTTTTTTCAAAAAGAACATCGATTTTGTCGTTTTATTTATAAACTCCTTTCATTTTTGTGTATGTATCATTTTATTCATTAACATATATCTTCTATCTTCGCCTTTATTTTGGGTGGAGAAGTCAGTTTTTTCTTTCGCCATAATTAATATAAAATAAAAATAAAGACGTGGTATTTATCTGTAGTAGAGTGCTTTAGGTGCACCACTCTCCCATTAGATTTTAGAGTAAGCCAAGCCTATCCCTACCTGATCGTCATCATGATTCTTAATCAACCAGAGTGTGATGTCATCCAAAATGGTATTTTAATTTAGTCAATTGGTCTAACTTTACGAACTTGTTAACAAATCTCATCTCATGTGAAAACATAAAATTATACCCGTAAAAAATATGATATGTTTCTCATGAGAAAACATAAAATCATATTTAGTGGACAGTTGGATACGATGCAGGGTTTTTATAGAAATACATAAACGTTACAAATGGTATTTCGTCACTTAAGATTCTTTTTAGGTCGACAAATCATGCATGCGTGGCTGATTTATTTCGTTTAAGATCTGTACTTTCTAGTGATGTGGCACAGGTTTGTCGACAAATCTTTTTTTGGTTCGAAACGGATGTTTGTCGACAAATCTTGCCGCTTTTAATTTGCACGACCGTCGATTACTTCCATCTATATCATTTGAGGGCTAATAATGGACTTGGTTCATGTTTAATTCGGCCCATAATGCTTTTATTGAGCAGCTGATATATAGCTCCTCAATTTACAAATAATTTTCCAGCCCATGTGTAAGTAGCCGAAACAAAAGTAGGAGAAAGAAAGCAAGTAATGGTGATAGTCACTTCCACGCGTATGTTACACCGTGATGATCACATATTCACATGGTATGTTGACATGTTGTATCCGGAGAGCTCGAGAAGGCGAAGGAGATGTTCAAAGAGATGACAGTAAAAGGGCAAGTGCCGAGTGATTTTCTGTTCACTAGAGTTTGATTAACAGTTGTGAGTTTTGGAGAATAAGATCTTTTATTAATAGTAGGAAAGCGTAGCAATTATAAAGAAGGGTATAACCGAAAGATTATGCCGAAGTGAAAAGAAGGTTTGCGAAGCAAACTAGAAAGCGTTGTAGTTTCTGGTTTTAGCTCTGCTGCTCTCTAGATTGTATGAGTTGTTCTTTTCAGGCTCTGAGACCTTTGTATTTATAGGAATAGGAGGTCGGTTGCTTCGAGTTTCTTTTTCTTTTGCCTTTAGTGAATATTTCTGTATCTACGATATGGAAATATCTCTTATTCTCCGAAGAATGTGGAAATTCTCCTTTATCCTTTGGGCTAATCCGATGTTTCCGGTATTTCATAATTATCTTTTAAGAGTTTTCCTTTAATCCGAACTAGGTCGGCGCAATCTTCTTAGTCTTAATGGGCTTAGGTTATTGCGAGGGAAGACTTTTTAGGAAATGTGCTCATTTCTCTTCTAACAATGCGAAGGGTTCGCCAAGCGGCGAGATTATAAAAATCTTGACACGCGTCTTCTTAGGAAACTGTTGATATTTCTTTCCGATTTACTTTACCTTTTACCTCTTCATCTTCTTGCTTTAGAAAAATCTTCGTCTTCCTTGTTTTTTTTTTAGAAATTTTTTCGCCTTGATTTGTCATATTGTTTTAAGATTTGTCTCCTGACACCGATATGGGTTTAAAGCGAAGAAGTAAAATTCCCTTGTTAGATGTTGATATCCCTGATTTCTCTCCGCGTAAGGAGCCCATATTGGAAGATCCACCGCAAGATCCTGCGACGGAGGGGTCACCTTCGGGAATCGCTGCAGAGAATTTGGGTACAGAGTTGCCGATTGGAGAGGAAGGGTTTTGAGCGTCAGCCGAAGAGCATGCTTTTAGCCCGTCGGATTCGAAAGATGTTTCGCCGGAAGGTCCGGTGGCGACTGATGATGAGTCTGGCTTCAATCCTCATGAATTCCTACTTCGTTGGGGCGGGAATTCTCCGGCAATGTTCAATGAATACTTCGCAGCAAATTTGGCTTGGTTGTGTAGGGCGAAGCCTAACCAAGGAATGTCCGTGGAGAAATTGAAATGATTTGCCTGTTTTTCCGGTATGACGCAACGTTTTATGCAGGGTTTAGGTTTATGCGCGTCTTTGGTTGAGTCATATGATAAAGAATCCATTCGGGAGGAAAATAGGTCCAAGGAGTTATCGGAAAGAGATCGAGAGCTTCGTGATGCTTTGGCGAAGATCAAGGATCTTGAGCGCGAGAAACTCAAGTTAGAGCTTGACTATAAGGCGCTTGATGTTGAATCTACCAAAAAGATAAGACTTCTCGAGGAGAGTCTCGAGAAGAAGGCGGCTGAGGAAGTTAAGAGCGCGGCTGTTAAGGAAAAAGAGTTTCGAGATCATCAGCATGTCTCGGTTGATCGCGTGGTGGATTTAATGTATCGGTGCCTTCGTGAATGGTATGATCCCTGTATCGAGCATATCAAGAAATTCATGGCGCAAGAACCTGATATTCATCGGCTGGAACTTCGAATCGTCTATGCTGGGGCGAAGGCGGATTGCTATAAGCAGCTTAGGTCGGCAGGGCATGAGATTCCGGTTGAAGAGTTCTTGACTCATTCTACTGCGGCCGACCGTTTGAAGATGGAGCGTCACGATATAAAGGATGCTCCAATTTCCTCAGACGATTTTGCCGCGCCTTCTCGTGTTCAAATGCGACCCTCGGATGCAGAATTAGTGGCAGCAGGGATTTGGCTGCCGAAGCGACGTAGGGCTTTGTAATTGTTTTATGTCGTTTTTTGTAAGACAAAGATGTTTCTTTTTATTAATGGATAAAAATTCACCTATTTTGTTTCGTACTTTTTCTTTGACGATTCAGACCTTAATTCTTAGGTTTTTGCGAAGTCAAAAAAATTTTTTGCCTTGCGGTGTGTGGGCATTCTTTAGGCCGGTGCTGGACGCGAGATTCATCAGCTCGTCTTACACCAAACGACATTCAGGATCGAATACCTAGTTTTCGAAGTATACTTTTGTCCGAAAGGTATTATCGAGAGTCGTGCGAGTATTGTCCTCGGCTTTCATCATATCTACTTCGAAAGTAATTAAAGCGAACCGAAGCGTCAAAGGAGTTGTGATCAGCCACTAATTTATTTTTGCTTGCTTTCGTTGAATCGATTGTTTGGCCAGAACATCGATTCGGCAAGATGCATTCGCATATAGCTCTTTTTTCCGAGCTGAGAAAGTTTTATGAAAGTAATTTTATTAAGATAGTGACTGAACCCGAAGGCTGCCTACGTACCCGAAGTGGGATCAAGTTATCCGTAGTTCTTAGTAGTACATTCTTTGTCGAGTTTATGGCTTTCAAATATTTTTTTAGATTCATGGAGTTGCGAGCTCGTTCGACTGGCTTTCCCTTCATATCTTCCAGCTTATAGACGCTGGGTTTGACAATTTCTGTAAAACGATATGGTCCCTCCCAATTCGGCTCGAGTTTTAATGGGTTTATGGTTCTTTGTAAGACGAGGTCGTGAAGTGAGAATAGTCGGCTTCAGACTTTCTTGTTGTAATACCTAGAAACTTATTGCTGGTAATACTGAATTCGTAATAAGGCTTTGTCGCGAAGTTCTTCCATGTTGTCCACCGCGTCGATTAGTTTTTCTTCATTTAATTGAGGATTTCGAATCATCAAGGCTCGCCGGGCACTATGTACATGCAATTCAGCCGGTGTCAAAGCTTCGCAGCCGTGAGATAGTGAGAATGGGGTTTCTCCCGTGGAGTCGTTCGATGGGACCAGAGGACTCCATCCAACTTGCGATGTTTTTTAAGACCGTCGAGGATTGTTTTATTAGAAGCTTCCGCTTGCCCGTTGCCCTGCGGGTAACATGGTGTCGAATAAATTATGCGTATCCCCTACTTTTTGCAGAAACTTCGGAAAACAGACGAGGTGAATGGAGTACCA